AAGGTTTTGTGGTGAAGAGGTGTGTCCCTTAGGAATTTGTTAGTGGACATTAATGAGTTTAAATTTTCTAAGAAGTAGTCATTAATGTGTTTAGATTTCCTAAGTTAGTCATTAGTATTTCTAGTTATTTGCTATTGCTTTTAAATAGTACCATGTAAATCATTTGAATGTAAGGCTTGGATGTTAAAAGATATACAAAGAGGTATATTCAGAGAACTCCTTGTGTGTTTCAAGTGTTTGAGAGAAACACCATTAGAGGACCTGCGATTCACAAATTGGTATTAGAGCTTGAGTTATGGAGAGTGTGAGCACTTCCAGTATGTCGTTGCCCCGCCTGACAAAGGCGAATTACGTGAATTGGAGTATCCAGATGAAGGCGTTGTTCGGATCCCAGGATGCTTGGGATGTTGTTCAGGACGGTTTTGCTGAACCTGCAACCACTGCAGGATTTACAGCAGCTCAAACCAAGGCGTTGAAAGAGACGCGTGCGAAGGACAAGTCAGCCTTATACACGCTTTTCCGAGCTGTAGACGAGTCCGGATTTGAGAAGATAGCAGGAGCAACGACGTCTAAGGAAGCATGGGACATCTTGGAAAATGTCTATAAAGGTGCTGACCGAGTAAAGCAGGTCCGACTTCAAACTCTACGTGGCGAGTTGGAAGGCATGAAGATGAAAGATTCAGAGGGTGTATCCGAGTTCATCACCCGCGTTCAAGCCGTGGTGAATCAGTTAAAGCAGAATGGTGAGGAATTATCTGAGACTAGAGTTGTTGAAAAGATTCTCAGGTCGTTGACAGACGACTTCGAAAACGTGGTATGTGCAATTGAGGAGTCGAAGGACTTGACTACGCTTTCTGTTGAAGAGCTAGCAGGTTCCCTTGAGGCGCATGAGCAGCGCAAGAAGAAGAAAAAGGAGGAGTCGCTGGAGCAAGCACTCCAGACAAAAGCAACCATTAAAGATGAGAAGACGCTCTATTCTCAAAATGTCCGAGGTAGAGGTCGTGGACGGGCTGGACGTGGAAGTGGCCGAGGTGGTCGTGGCCGAGGTCATGAGGTGAAAAATGAAGAAAGAGCTGAATCGAGTCAGAGAGGAAGAGGACGTGGCCGAGGTGGAAGAGGCCGGTGGTCAAATCAAACAAATGTGGAATGTTACAAGTGTGGCAAGTATGGCCATTACTCGAGAGATTGCAACTCGGACAAGTGTTACAACTGTGGCCGAGTTGGGCATTTCGCTAAGGATTGCCGAGATGAAAGAAGAGTTGACGAGGCTTCAAACCTTGCTGTAGAAGGAGATGGAGGAGTTCTTATGCTAGCCCATGGTGAAACCAGTTCAAAGAATGAGACGGAGTGGTATTTGGATACCGGTGCCAGTAATCACATGTGTGGTTACAAACACCTGTTTAAGGAGTTGAAGACGGTGGAAGCCGGACATGTCTCTTTTGGAGACGCGTCCAAAATTGAAGTAAAGGGCCGAGGTACGATCTGTTTCTTGCAAAAGGATGGACGAGTTGGTACAATCCGGGACGTGTATTACGTGCCCGAGCTCAAAAGTAACATATTGAGCATTGGACAGCTGATGGAGAAGGGTTACTCGGTTCTAATGACAGACCGAGTTCTACTGTTGAAAGACAAACAAGGGCGTCTGATAGCCCGAGTTCAGATGGAAAAGAACAGAATGTACAAGCTGAGTCTAAGGAGCATGGAGGTCGGCTGTCTGCAAGCCGGGGTAGAAGATAAGATGGACTTGTGGCATAGACGGTTTGGACACCTTCATTATGGTGGTCTGACCGAGATGATGAAGAAGGACATGGTAGTGGGACTACCGAAGATTAATTCTGAAGGAAGATTTTGCGAGGACTGCGTATTGGGAAAACATGCGAGAAGCCCGTTCCAAAGGATGGCAAGATACCGAGCTAAGCAGCCCCTGGAGTTGATCCATACCGACCTGTGTGGACCCATTAATCCGGGTTCCTTCAGTGGTAAGAAATATTTTGTAACTTTTATTGATGATTTCAGTCGAAAGACTTGGGTATATTTTTTGAAGGAAAAATCCGAGGTGCTAGAGGCATTCAGGAGTTTTAAAACAATGATAGAGAATGGTACTGGAAGATACATCAAGTCGGTCCGCTCAGACCGAGGTGGGGAGTACGTGTCAATAGCTTTCAAGAAGTATTGTGAAGAACATGGGATAAGGCGGTTCCTGACCGCTCCGTACTCGCCCCAGCAGAATGGAGTAGCTGAGAGAAAGAACCGGACTATCCTGGATATGGTCCGATCTATGCTAAAAACGAAGAACATGCCAAAGGAGTTCTGGGGAGAAGCCGTGCAATGTGCCGTGTACGTGCAAAACCGATGTCCGCACTCAAGTGTGAATGATAAAACTCCACAAGAAGCATGGAGTGGTCTAAAGCCATCAGTGGCTCATTTCAAGATTTTTGGTAGTGTTGCGTATGCACACATACCAGATCAATTGAGGACAAAGCTAGAAGATAAAAGTAAGAAGTATGTGTTTATTGGCTATGATGAGAAGACGAAGGGGTACAAGTTGCTGGACCCCGTCAATAAAAAGGTGTTGGTGAGCCGAGATGTAAAAGTGAATGAGGAAGATGGATGGGACTGGAGTAGTCCATCCGGGGTCAATATGGAACCCGGACTAAAATCAATTGAGGTCGGACAACCTTCGACCCGGATTCCTGAGAATCCGAATGACTTAGATAGTGATGAAGAGCAGAGACAACCGAGATTGAGGAGTCTACAAGATTTGTATGATTCCACCAGTGAAGCACACTTGGTATGTCTGTTGGCAGATTTTGAAGAAGTAAGTTTTGAAGAAGCAATCCGAGATGAGAAATGGCAATCAGCCATGGAGGAGGAAATAAAGGCGATAGAAAAGAACAAGACGTGGGAGTTAGCCGAGCTGCCCAGAGGAAGTCGGCCCATTGGTGTGAAATGGGTCTACAAGAAGAAAATGAACGCTAAGGGGGAGATCGAAAGATACAAAGCCCGGCTAGTGGCGAAAGGGTATAGGCAGAAGGCCGACATTGATTATGACGAGGTGTTCGCACCCGTAGCAAGAATGGAGACAATCAGGCTGTTGATCTCTCAAGCAGCCCAATTCGGATGGCCGATCTATCAGATGGATGTGAAGTCGGCATTCTTAAATGGAGTACTCGAAGAGGAGGTATATCTGGAACAACCTCCGGGATTCATGAAAGCCGGACAAGAAAGAAAAGTGTTGAGACTGAAGAAAGCCTTGTATGGGTTGAAGCAGGCCCCAAGAGCCTGGAACACAAGAATTGACAATTACTTCAAAAGGATGGATTTGAGCAGTGTCCATATGAACATGCTCTCTATGTAAAGAAGAAGGAAGGTAAAATTTTACTTGTTGCCTTATATGTTGATGACTTAATTTTTCTGGGTAATGATGAAAGAATGATAAAAGACTTCAAGAAGAAAATGACGGAAGAATTCAAGATGACGGATCTCGGTCTGATGAGGTATTTTCTTGGTCTGGAGGTCAGACAAGACAAATCCGGGATCTTCGTCTCTCAGGAAGCCTATGCAAAAGGAATTTTAGAGAAGTTTAAAATGACAGACTGCAACCCGGTTTCAACGCCAATGGAACCCGGGTTGAAACTTTCAAAGTATGATGGAGGAGAGAGAGTTGATCCGAGTTACTACCGAAGTCTAGTTGGAAGTCTGAGGTACTTGACGTGTACGAGGCCGGATCTGTGTCTGAGTGTTGGGATCATAAGTCGATTTATGGAAGACCCGAGGTACACTCACTGGAAGGCGGCTAAGAGAATTCTGATATATGTGAAGGGAACAATCTCACAAGGACTTCATTACTCGAAGTCGGACAAATACAAGTTGACGGGTTATTCAGACAGTGATTGGTGCAGAGATGTTGATGATAGAAAGAGCACGGCTGGCTATGTGCTTTTCGTGGGAAACACGACTTTCACGTGGGTATCAAAAAAGGAACCCATTGTGACCCTGTCTACATGTGAAGCCGAGTATGTTGCGGCATCTTGGTGTGTTTGCCATGCAATATGGCTAAGGAATTTACTAAGCAAGCTGGAGCAAGGGCAAGTCGGGGCAACCGAAATCCGAGTTGACAACAAGTCTGTGATCGAGTTAGCAAAGAACCCGATCAATCATGAGAGGAGTAAGCATATTGATGTCAGGTTTCATTTCATCCGAGATCAAGTCAAAGAAGGAAAAGTGGAGCTCACTCACGTTGCAAGCCGAGATCAAGTTGGAGATATTTTTACAAAGCCCCTGCCGACGTTGTTGTTTGAAAATTGCAAGAAGAAGATGGGAATGAAGGATGGTAGAGATATTAAAGTTTAAGGAGGAGTTTTGTTGGGTTTTAAACTTTATTTGAATAAAAGAAAATAGAAAATGAAAGGTTTTGTGGTGAAGAGGTGTGTCCCTTAGGAATTTGTTAGTGGACATTAATGAGTGTGTTTCTAAGAAGTAGTCATTAATGTGTTTAGATTTCCTAAGTTAGTCATTAGTATTTCTAGTTATTTGCTATTGCTTTTAAATAGTACCATGTAAATCATTTGAATGTAAGGCTTGAATGTTAAAAGATATACAAAGAGGTATATTCAGAGAACTCCTTGTGTGTTTCAAGTGTTTGAGAGAAACACCATTAGAGGACCTGCGATTCACATTGTTGTGTCTTCCATCACAGAGTCATGGGTTCCTTCTCCTCTACACTGCTTTTTCTTTTCTTCCTCACTTGCCAATCACCATGACTCACTCCAACTCAAAGGTTAGAATTGTTAGTCTTCTTTTTTCTGTGCTTGTACTCCTTATATTCACAAGAAAAAAAATCACTTATCTTTGTGTATATGGGTAGCTAGTTGTATGTTATATCAAATTGTTCACTGAATTTTCCATAATTGTGTTCGGTAAATTAATTACTTTGTTCTTGTACTCTTTTCCCTGTCGTTTTTGCATTTGAAAATAATCTCCGCACATTACAACTGCAGGTGTTGATATTGAAAGGCCAGTTTTGGATATCTCCCCTTCCCCACTTTCTGGGGATTCAGCTGCTCATGGTGTTAAAGATATTTTACGATGTGAGCGTGTTCAAGTGTCTGGTATCTCAAGATTGAAACTTGGGAGCTATGCTAGTTCATTCCACATTACTTTGGCTCCATCTGCTGCGATCCCAGAGAGGTTACATAACAAAATTCAGGTTTGTTTCCACAGGTAAGTACATAACTTGGACATACTGTACGTAGTATTCTTTATTTATTTGCTGTCACTACACCCCCTCATCTCATGTGCATGCTTGGTATGCACTCTCTTCTAGTTTCAACTTCTTTCAAAGTCTATCAAGATTGCCATTTCTTATTTATAAAGTATGTGCAGGAATAATGCACTTGGATGGTGTCAGTGTGAAAAGGATGAATGGACGAGTATTCAGAAGGGGATCTGGAATGCTGTCATGTCACCTTATGAAACTAGATATGTTGATGTGAGGATGAATGCTGGAATGTTGGGTTCTTCTGTTACAGTTTCCCTTGAAGAAGGTTTGTTTCTTCCATCTCATAAGAGTTGGGAAAATTATTCTATTGTCTCTTCCCTTTGTGGTTTCTTTTTTCAAAATTTTGGGGCTTATTTATATGTTACACAAAAACTTTGCAGATTTTCAGCAATGGCGCCTTGTATGTCTTGCATTGGGATTGATACTGCTGTTGTTGGCTCCAATTATTAGCAGTTGGGTTCCATTTTATTATACCAGTTCAATGGCTATAGGGATCTTTCTTGTTGTTATAATCCTTCTTTTTCAGGTATACAATTTACTTTCTTATTATATATGAATTTCATTTTGTTTCATTTCTTTTAATTTTTCCTTGGTTGTTTAACATGTTTTCTAACTAATTTCTTATAATTATGATATAGGGCATGAAATTATTGCCAACTGGAAGGAAAAATATCTTTTACCTTACCATATATGGTTCAGTGGTAAGTTTGATTTAATTTTGGTCATTGTTCCCTTGCAGCTCTTCATGTTTCATGCAAATATTATCACTGTTAATATTATTACTATGTGCTGTTTCAGCTTGGAGCTGGGTCATTCCTTTTGCACCAATTCTCCGTGTTCATAAATTCAATTCTTCAAAGTTTTGGGATGAGTGAAGAGATGCACATTCCAGTAAGTATATCTCTCTTTCTTTTTTGGATAACTTGGTACATATCTGTATTTATATGTTCTGTCATACAATACTGGCTGAATGGTTAACATCTATAGACACTTCTGGATTCCTAATCCTTTTTGTTGGCTTTTTCTTTAGACTCATACATTTTTTTCTTATGTATGACGAGCTAACATTCTGGGACACATTTGTAACATTTTGTTTTTGCAGTCAATAACTCACTCTTTTAAATTCTCCCTTACCTTATAATGAGGTGGCTTTTTTTGTTTCCTTTTGAATAACTTTTGACAAATGTTATTTCTTTCTTTGGGCTAGCAAAAAATATTTGCAGTCAACAGAAAATAGCTGGTAAAGGGGTGAAAATGACTTCATCTTTTCAAATATAATTATTTAATTTTCTGGAACAAGCTCAACCTTTCTATATATGCTTGTCGCCCTGATGTTTGCCCTAACTGTCATTCGCCAATGGCTAGTCCCTGGTTGGTGGTTACATTGTAGCTTTCACTTTCCACCCTCCCTGTTCCCCTTTCTGTGGTCCCTTCATTTCATGCTGCATAACTCTTGCTGATTGCTGGCCATCTTTGCCTGTCTGTCAGATATATGTTATCAACTGTTTTCCATCCTATGGGATTTGGCTTGTCTATCAGACATATCTTAAATTCTCTTTAATAAAATTATTTTCTTCAATGGTTTACGGGTTGCCATTTTTGTACTACTGGGTATCCTCTTGGCTGGAGCTGCTTTAGGCTACTGGGGTCTTAGGAGATTTATTCTTTCGAAAGAAGATGGCGGTGTGGATGCTGGGGTCGCTCAGTTTGTGAAATGGGCAATGCGCACTGTTGGAGCCACCTTGGTTTCGCAGGTTTGCATTTATATAAATAGGGAATGTGCAATAAACTATTGTTGTTATCTAACGTTCATCCTGTCATATATGACAGGTTATGCTAGGTCATCGTGGATTAACTTGTGTAAATTATTGTTGTTAGTTGCATGCAAATTTGAAGATGAATAATTTTTCTGTATGGAGAAAATATTCTGATTCAAAAATGAATGAAATAAACTATAGTTATAATAATGAAATGATTATTTTGAAAAACGAAAACGAAAATAATAAAAATAGTTAAATATAAAATATAAATAGTAAGAAAATAGTTTTAAAAAATGCAAAACAAAAATGGCATAGATTGATAAATTTTCTGAAAGTCGCTCAGCTTGGTAATATTTTTTATAAAGTCGCTTTGATTGGTACAGATGCTGTTATTGTCTATTTACTTGATTTTCATGGTAAAATTGTCTGTTGAATCCATGAATAATTGAGTTGATGCTGATGAGATGTAACTATTTATGTGAATTGAGATTTAACTATTTACTGGAAATGTTTGCCATATTTACCTAGTTTCATCCAATTTGTTCTGCCAGCTAACCTGAATGTTTCTTCATGATGGTGGTTTTGTCCAAGGAACATTAGATGAGATGGTTGTCATGAAATCATGATGCTCATTGCTGACAACTTGTTAATAAGGCATTTTGGATGTTTTCATGAATTGTTGTATATTGCTTTTATAGAATTTAAAGCCCATAATCTAATTGTAGGAAATGCTCACGGTTTATATAATTGAACATTGTAATCAATTTTTCCATTTTAGATAGTAAAGGAACCAAGAGGGAGTGAGATTCACTAACATATGCTGGTCTTTGACTGTTTAGATATCTGTATGACTGCCCTAAAATTGTTCCTCTATTTTTTTTGGTCATTGTTTGTCATTCAAGGCTTCAAGTCTTCCACTTTTAAAAATGCCATTATGATTTCATGTAGGTATGGAACTTCAGGAAATGATGATCACTCGCTGCTGTGGGTGAGAGGAACACGTGGCCGTGCTGAATTCCTTAGCAAGTCAACTCCTAAAGGAAAAATGTGGAGTAGTCCTAAAAGATCTGCATGGTCTGACTCTCCGGTGAAAGGTATTGTTCCATGTTTGAATCTTTCTGATATATGATTATCCTAGCAAGATTTTTGTTTTCCTGGTGAATCAAGCAAGTTCTTTACTAATAAATAGATCAAAGAAATTGAACTTTTGGCTGAGGTAGGCAGAATCTTATTCTTATACTGGCTTATAATGGTATCTTGATTTTGTGGAACTGATTAAGCAAAACTTTAGTAGTAAGTAGATCAAAATCAAAGCAATTGATGTTTTTGGCTGAAATAGTCAGG